TATATATATATATATATATATATATATATATATATTATGCCCACCACCAGGGTAGCAGAATGCTCAAAATTATGGTGTACAAACTCCAAACCTTCTTGAAATCTAAATGACCAAGTGTGTGTGTGTATAATTGAATCAAAGCTTGTTTTAATCACATACCCAATAGAAATACAGTCATGTACGTCTGTCTCATGGCTTCTCTACAACAGTAAATGAAAACAACACACCCATCAGAGATGTACATTGATGCCATACTCAAACAGAACTGACTCTATACTCGAATAAAATGTTGTACTGATGATAATATTCAGTAAATTAAAACATATTTCACACCTGCCATGCTGATGATTTACCAAAATTTAAAGTTGGGAATAACTAGCATGAGAATGTTCCTGTCAGCTCCAAAGTAAAATCTCCGGGTGTCAACCAAATCCTTAGGCACACACTGCATGTATGTGTACAACAACACTACTCTGAGCCACCAGGAGAGTGATATAAGCAGTAAATTTAATTTTACGCTATCACCTGGCTACAAAATCAAATACAGTTTAGCAGATTGCTTTTTGAAAGAACAAGTAGGTAATATATAGTAGTCTAAGTTATATTTACCATATTTCCAGCCTGAATTGAAGTTCCAGAATCCTTTTGGTCCAACATGTAGGTATTTTCTGTAGGTGCAGCCATTGTAATGAATCTCCTTCTCGGATATTTGCCAACCACGAATAATTTAGTTGTCTTCTTGACAGGTCAATTACTGGATAAATATTAACATGTTAAACTTAAAGTTTTCTTTATGAAACACATGGTACCAGTATCAAAACACACACATATATATATATACTTTAAACATTAATGAATACTAATGTAACTACAATCCCATTTTTAGGATTTCTATAGCATAATTCTATAATCATTTTAATGTCATGAACTACTACATAACACTATGGCAGAGCTTCAAAGATTAACCCACTTATATATTTATTTTATCAAATGATATTGTGGAAGCAACTATTCATGTGACATATATAAAACTTTGGATAAAGTATTATAAATAAACTTAATTGCTAACTTAGATTTGTAGATTATCAATAAAAAAACAATACAAGTTAGATAAATTTATTACGTAAGCAACAGGCTGTAGTAATAAATGAGGAATTTTTCATTTGATGAATGTAACCTAGAGAAGTCCTTGAAGGATCTGTTTTTTGCGAGTGTTATTACACGTATTCATTTTTCATATTAATTATATTGTAAGTAATATCAATTGCTGAGAATTTTTATTTAGACTACGTGGTGTGAAGCCCATAGAAAAAAGATGTAATATCAATAAATGTGAAATCATACAGTGTGGGCTTACCTGCTATTTGAGAATTTTGGATAGGGTGAAGCCTTTGGTACAATGTCTGGCTGTGGTGAATAGACACCTTCAGGATCTACCTATAATATGTAGGGGATAAATACATTATATTATTAAAAAACGTATGACAGTAATAAGGTTTACACATTTAGACAACCTAATATTTGAGGCACAACAAGAGGCCTCTTAACCTATCATTGCTGTCCCACTCTTCTTATTAAATCTCCATCTTCCCACATCCATCCCTGACCCAAGTACTCATTAAGCATCTGTCTTGAATTTTCCCAATCTTGCTGCAACTACCATGTCTAAATCTATGTCCCCTAGTCCTACAACTATCACCATTAAAACCACAAAAAAAAAAGATGATGCATCAATCAGGCCCCCCTCTAATCCTTCTTTTCGCAAGAGAGCCCTTCTATCCCAGGAATCTTGGTAGCCCTCCTTTGAACTCTTTTCAACAATTCAATGTCCTTCTTAAAGTAAGGGGGCCAAAACTGAACATAATACTCTAAATGAGGTCAAACCAGAGATTAATACAAAGAAACAATACGCTCCATTGACTTATATTCAATATCCTGTAGACACAATCCAAAACCCTAATTACTTTTCCACAGGCAACAACATACTGCCAAGAAAGGCATAAGAGACTGATTGACCAAAATAAAGATTATTTTCTTCTATAACATTGTTGAGTTGATTTTGATCAAAATAGTAATTACAGATGGCTTAAATTAAGGTAGCCCACAAGCATAACCTTGCACTTAGCATAATTAATATTATCTACCATATATTTGCCTAATTCCTCTATTGATCCAAAACCCTTAGTAAAATAACATCCTCCTCCTCCTCACAGCCAACCACACCCAAAACTTTAATGCTGTCAAAATAACTGATAAAGTTAAGAAAAACTATGAAATTCTTTCATAAAAATCTAATTTGATGACAATAATGTTTTGTAAAAAGGAAAGGTCTAAAAACAATACGAGTTTTTTTTTTACAATATAGGCAGTAATATCAGTATTAGTGATGTAGGCATTATTCTTTCCATGGGTCAGGAGGAATCTTCCCCATTAAATTTAACTCTTGCCCCTCCTAGTTTTGAGGGTTTTATTTCTAGATATGAATTTTGGTGTGAACAATTAGGTGCCCTTAGAACTGTACCATTTTAGACATACTTGTAAAAATAATCTTGAGGAATCCAAACTACATTTATAGACATACTATGCTTTTACACACTCAAATATTGTGTGCCACATTTGTTACCAAATAAAACCTGAAATAATACCCCTGGTAACAAAAAGTCAATACTGAGTTTTAACAAATTTTTTTTGCAGTCACAAGTGAGGATGATATCCATTATCACTGAAATTTGTTCAATAGAGAGTAACAGATCACCTTACTCTGTATTCAAATACAGCTGTTTAGACCATTCAAAATCTTATCCATATATCTGTCCAAATTAATTTCTAGGTGATATTAAACTAGTGGTATATGGCACTTAATAATTCCTACTATTCCAATTTATGACTCTTAAAAAAAATTATGCATAGTCTGCTTCAGGACCCCCAAATCTTCAACAATGTTACTCCTAATATTTAATATTCATTTACCAAACTTTTCATTTTACCACTCGTCTAGGCTACCTGCAAGAAGTCTATAAAACTCTTTTGAGAATCTAAAGAAGTCTCTTTTAATTCTTCTACACTCCACAGAAAATTATAAAATTTTACCCCCCCCCCTCCTTACAGTTAAAATCACTTTAATTTTCAAGGTAAAACAAGGGATCATTTGGACTACTTAAGCTATCCAATTTTCTACTACCACTCTGCTCAAAACTATTATGTATCCAAAACACTTTTTCTTATATACAAACTTCTGCTAAACTACTCATTCAATATTCTCTTAAAACTCCTTTTACCACACCTGAGGGCAAACTATTTCAATGACTGATCATCTCATTATAAACAAACACTGCTTTAAACTGAAATCAGAAGTTATCCACATCCTAAACTCGTGTCCTTAGCTTCTACAGTTTTTTATAGTCTTAATGTCTCTAACAATCTTAAGTTAAAACACCTGAGTCATAAGCCCTCAAGCCTTTTACTCCTCCAGTAAAAATATGGCAAGAATTTTCAACCTATTCTCATAAAATAACCAGAACTGTTGCAAGCCAAGAATCATCCTGGTATTTCTGTTCTGCACATTTTTGAACCTCTCAATATCCTTTTTTAAATATAGATGGCCAAACCTGAACAGAATATTCTAAATAAGGTCTAACTAGTGCCTTATACACTATTGGATCAGTTTCACTGGTAATGTATCAGAGAAAAATCATCCAATTATTGAAAAAAGTAACTTTCTGGAACATAATGAATTAAGTTTTGTCAAAATGTCAAAAGCAGATTTCAATTCCTTGTTAAAGCATAATAGGTATAGTTTCCAAAGTTCTTTTTTCAAAAATCAGAATCTCACGCTGGCAATTTGTCAATCATTAGGAATTTTTTCCTCATTATAAAACTTTTAAAATGTAACAGTTAAGACTTCCACTAACTTTTTGCTAAGCTTCTTCAAAGTTTCAACATAAATTTTTTCAGGACTACAACTTTTTTCAAGAATATTTGCATCTTTTTCTAAAACAGCTACTTCTTTTGCATAAAATAATTTAGAGAAACTCTTCACATCTTTCCTCACCCTCATCAATAATCCACAATAGTAAAACATTGCTTGGCATTGGGATTGTTTCCTTCCTCCATATAAAAAGTTAAATTAATAATTTTTAGCAACTGACATACATACATATATATTAACAACCTTTCAAGTCAAACTTGGTGTACTGAATAAAGAAACTTTCATAATATTTTTTTAGCTCGTAAGCACTATCTTTATAATTATGTAATTGTAAATAAATGAAGACTCAGTAATATTGGCAAGATCAAATATTCATCATAACTCCTGATTTTAATAACTACAAAGACCTTTTGTACTAGTTAAAATCAAATTATTAAATTATATTTAATTTAATCTAATTCACACCAACAGTTGTTCTCATGCACTCTGATAAGTAGTGTTTGAACCATTACTACATCTGTCATATACAAGCAAATCTGATGAGACCTGGTTTGGGGCAAAAGGCCTCATTAGCATTGGGTATGGTAGCTATAGTATGGTTACATTCTACTTTACTTTTGTTCAAAGTTGTTAGAATAACCATCTGTTCACTTTGTGTCCTTCGAAACCCATGAAACAATACCTCACCTCTTTAAGGTTAGTTTAAATAAAATCTAATTTCTGCAGAAAGTGAATTGTATGGTTTCAATCTTATAGCTTAAAATGTAAAAAAATACTTAGTACTGGCAAATGTATTGTAGTGGTATATTTTGCTTAAAAAAAGGTTTGAATTGTCAGATAAACAGGTATTTGTTTTGATATAAAGCATTTAATTTCAAGATATCATAAAGAAAGCTATTTCTGTCAACAGATATCTATTGAGAATTATCATAAGCATTTGCACTGATATAAAAGTTTGAGAAGTAAGGTCTACACACAGGTGAGACATGAACTGGGGTGGGGAAGACCTTCATGGATATCTATAATTTACTCAGTTATTTTATTTGTTTTTTCGTGTGGAAAATGGATACAGAATACTCAGAACAAATCTAACTATTGCTTATAGTGTAATGAAATAATGTTTACCCAGGGGAATACTAAAACTAGTATAAGATATAACATATTATTTACAAATGACGTGCTAGTATCTGCTACTAGTACTAGTATTACATTAGCACGTTACTATAGCAAATTACTGTTGCCGTAACTCTTACTACTAGTACTATATCATAGACTAATTTAGTACTACCAGTATTAACTGTTTAGAGTTTAATAATAATAGTACCACCACTAGTAATAGGATTACGTATCACACCAAATGTTTGCAACTTGTTGATCCACGCACACAAACTAGTCTAACTTGTAATGCAAGTAAAACTAGTAGTAGTATAAGGAAACGTATTTAAAGTTTTAATTCTATATGCGTATTTTAGATTTAAAGCACATAGTCATTTATAAGCAAAATGATTACCAACCTAATTCCCTTGTCTAATTTATTTTGCGATATTTATTTCTATATAAACATCTTGTTGAACTTCTATTCAAATACCATATGTCATGTTCCAAAGACTGTGAGCAGGCCTAATGAAGACGAGTTAAGAGCTGCGCGCGGCTGTTATTGTTAATGTTACAATAATAACAAAGTAAACAAACAATTATACTGAATCACTTTTCCTTTTCGAAAGAAATTTGTAATAAAGATTAAATGTAAAGATAGAATTTAAAATAAATCATGAACAATTTTTTTTAAGAAGGACCACCAGCCATGTAATTACTTAAGAGGTGAACAATACCAAGCCTGTGTTCGTGACGTATGCCATAGTTAAACTATAAGTTAAATAACCGCTAAAGTGACGAATGACACACACATTACCTATCTATAATACTAACACCGTAACAGGGTACGTGTATACATACCATCTACAGTACTTCTGCATGCAGCTGTTACAATATATTTTCGGTCTGCGACGCATTATATATTTACATGGTGTATATTCTCACTTTTACTGTTAACAAACCACAAATCCATTAATGATATTAGACATGACAGTTTGAAACATTTTAAAATTAAATGGAACAATAAGTTTTCTAACAAGTGAAACATTTCTAGCTTCAAGGATAATTCAGTTTATAAAAGTAGGTAAATATACGATACCCTATGAAATAATATAAAATAAAATTTAGATCCAATATTAGCAAACTACATGAAGAAGACCCATGAAAATGTCAAACTTGTGTCTATATAAACTTGTTGTTTCCTAATATTGTGACCCCGGTGGATGAGCGGCAAAGTTCAGGGATTTTTATGTTAAAAATCAACAAAAAACCATAATAATGGACTTAAACTTTATTTTCATTTATAAGCACTAAATACTTTAGGACTGCAGTTGAATTTTTTAGCTGAATGGCCCTTCATAAACACGTGCGCTTAAGTCATGTGGAAAACTTACGGTTCAGGTATAGCTGTCTTTAATTCCAAACCACTTAACACTAGAAAGAAGGCAATCAAGCCAGCATCACCTGCCTCCACAAAAGCATTGTCAGGCTCTTTGAATCAAATAGTGGTATTAACTGTCACTTTTATAACGCATCCACTGCTGAAAAGTGTGGAGCGTGTTCAACAACATCTGGTCTTGAACCCTGGATCTTTCGATTTCCAGCGACACACTATCTTTAGGCCACCTAACCACTTTATTCGACAGAACTAATCAAAAGTCACAGTTTGACTGAAGATTCTTCATTAAGTTATCCTATTATTCATGACAATATGCATGTCAATACGATTATTAACTTGTTACATATCCTTTATATAGCACAAAAATGATTTAAATTCTACCTTTTTAAAATTGGCACTATTTCCCTTGAAAATCAATGAAATGTAAGTAAAATAAATTAACTCTATCTTTTGACTTGTTATGGATTATATTTTTTTACCTGCCATGCGAATATCAAAATGATTTTACTTTAAATAAAGTTACTATCTCAATTGTAATTCCCGATATGAAATTCTCTGCCCACGATATTAAAAAATGCTTTTGAACATAGACCTTTGAAATTGAACCGAAACTAAATTAATTCTGAGGGCGCTAGCTGTGCCCTATACGCACATTATGCGCATGCGTAATTTTTATCTAGGTAAAGATTTCAAACCGTAATTATGTCGACAACAAAAATAAGAGCGCAAATGGTTATAAAATAACAATTTTATAATTAAGAAGTAACTCTGTTTGCTGTAATCGCAGAGTATCTGAAAGGCTTTCCCCCTAATTTCTCGTTTTTATGAAGGCTAAGCCTCCAAACCTTCGAAGGGGATTGACACCCTAGAATGCCGGTTCGTATCTTTTTTTATTTTCCGCTGGGCTACCCTTTCTTCCCGACTGAAAAAATTTTCTATAGCTAGGGGCCGTACCAAAGATACTGCGAGAGGTGAGCCCGCACTCGTATGGGGCATAAGTTTGCATATTTAAAGTTTTATTTGTTTTTGTTAAGTACAAAGCTACATAATGGGCTATCTGTGCTGTGTCCATAACGGGTATCGAAACCCGATTTGTAGTATTATAAGCTCGTACTTACTGCTGAGTCAATGGGAGGGGGGGCTGCAACCCCTAAAAATCACTTATTAAAAGTGGTTAACAAAACAAAATCGTCCTATTTCCAACTTGCTCTCTGGGACACCCAGTTTTTTTTTCTTATAGTATTTCGTATATATTTTATACTTTTGCAATGATTAACGTATTTTTATATTGTTGCCATTTTTATAAGATCGTTTTTCACCCCATATCTTTCTTCCTTTTTCGTCTTTCTCACCTCCATTACTTTTAATTTCGTGCTTTATTTACCATTTTCAGATGAGTTAATTTCCTTCAACATAATACATTGTTTTTAACTCGTATCATGTAAATCCGAGTTCTTGATTTTGAAAGTTTAAAAGAAAAATGTTAGTGATTTTGTTTAACTCGTCAAATTCACAGTGAATGAAATGATATTGAACAGAATCACATTTTTATATGTGGACAAAAGTATGATGTAAGTAGAGAATAATTAGTGTGTTTATTTTCTATAATTATTCAACGTGTAACCTGGTTTTGAAAATCGAATATACAGTGACGGAGGGAGTGGTTGTGTGGGATAAAGCCCAGCTCCCTGCCTTTAGGCCTCAAAAACGATTGCGGAAAGATACGCCCGATTCACGTGATTCTACACCTTAGTAGGCTTAGTTGCTGCGAGTTATTTGGAAATACAAGAAGAAAAAATGATTTCAGTTTTAAAATAAATGGAACACGGGGACTTGTAGGTCTTACAGTGGAAAAGACGACAACAAACAAACATGCAATAATTTTGATATGCTATTAAATGTTAATATGCAATAATTCACTGCTTAGTTTTAAATCATAAAAATGTTTATAAGACCAATTGAATAGGAATAAAAGAAGATCTGTTTGCTTCTTGTAGTTTTTTTACCCTATATGTACTGACAGCAATCCGCAGTCTTCATGGTCTCATCTAACAATCCCCTCCCCTAAAAAACAACAACAACAACCAGCAACAATAAACTCTTGCCTTACATTGGCTTGAAAAGTGTCCTTATTATTATTTTTTTATAAATATGCCCTACATTTTTAATGTCCTCTGCATATCACTGCGAGTATAAATAAGTATTTTGATATGTAGCAGTTTTCCAATTTTCAGGACACACACACATAGACGTTTTATGTAAAGAATTTTTGTGATTGAAGTAAGGCCTACAGAGAACCAAACCGATTACAATTAGCTAGTATGGTATGATATGTGTAAATAAATAAATAAATAAATATATATATATATAGGGTGCGTTATAAGAGTTACCGACAGCTCCTTAGTGTGAATGCTTGGTGGCAGGGTGCAGTTGACTGGTTGTCTTCCCTCTAGCCAGAAGTTAAAATTAGGGAGGGTGCTAGATCGCCTTAGCAGCTTTTTCATAAATATAAATTACAAGTAGAAAATTACAAACTGTTGCGTCGGCGAGATCACGTGACTATTCTCAACGCCC